TGCCATTCAGTATGAGAATGTATCGACCCTGCCTTTTGTTATGTCTTAAACTCCATTTAGGAAAAAACTGGATCCCCCTATGAAGGGCTGTCTTACCCTGAAAAAATCCACCTCCCGGTCTTTGTTTGGCACTCTGAGTCAAGTACCTACAGGTCATAAGGTGCGAGAACAGTCAGGTTTACGAAGCCACCAGGCCATCAAGATTGCTAAGGCGTGACTTGATTGGAACTGAACTTTACAGATTTCCCTGCAATTAGAGCAATGATCACCGAGCCGAAAACCAACGGCAAAGGACCACGTTCTTCTTACGACCAATAACTTGATCTTCGTGTTTGTGTGTTTCAAGGACGCTGGTATTTACCGGTGCAGAAAGCTGAAATGACCCTTATCTCTTTCAAATTCACAGTGGCATTAATACTTGGGAATCGTGCTCATTGAATCGTCAGTTTCGTGCGGAGGTTTCGGTATAGAATTGCCTTCCGCCTTGCACCAAGCGGTCAGTGGCAAAAAGTGCATATGTATTAAGGCTTCAAGGACGATTCAACACAAAGCTGTATTCCCGTCTGATTAAACGGAAACCATAGAAAAGTGGACAATTTTTTGATCCCTAAAGAACAAACGACAGGCTCTTGCATGTCTACGTATTCTGGTGATTGCAAATTAAGTCCGTTGATTGCACATGCGCACATGGTTGTTGATTGTCGTACAAGAAAACGCCGAAGCCGCTGTCTAGTAATACTTTCTGATATTTTGGTTTAACGCGAAAAAATTAATGAATTTATTGCGTAACAAAACATTGTGTTAATGTGATTTAAAAAAAAAATGATGCCCCAAGATGTCAGTGTTTTCATGTAATTACACTGGCGTATAACCGTCGTTCACATATTAACCAAATTATATATTTTCTTCAAAATGCACAATTATTGTCATTTTCCCCAGTTTTCTCTTTTTCTATGAATTTCAAGTTGTTAAACTGAAAAAACGTTGCCGACAGTATTGGACTTGTCGAGATTCATTTGGACTTCAGTTTCGTAACCTGCACCAACACACGGAGATGACAGAGTGCCCAGGTTAATTAAAAAGATAAAAGGCGCGACCTCGACGCCTTCCTTCTAATGAAAAGGGTTGGTGAGAGAACGACCATGATTAACGGCGTCCAGGATAAGGTGGATGATACGAGCACGTATCTAGCTACGCAAATACGGTTGACAACAACTAACACCGAATTGCCTGGTTTCATCGCCCCCATTTTCTGCTGCATTTACGAAAAATGGGTTTTTAATCTGCCCTTTCGAATAAAGTTCAGCTCAAGGCTTAATCTTTCTTCACTCACAGTCATTAAAGACGGCTTAATTGTCATATTTTCCCGGAAACGATCTCAGTGATGTAGCCAAGTGACATTTTGTTGATAAACAATGGAGATTAAAAGACGCTATTATAAAGGGTTTGTGGTTAAGTATAAAGATAACAACCCCCTTTAAATTAAAAGGTAATGATTGTTTCAGTTATAATTTTGGATCCCTGATGCACCGTATTTTCCCAAGGTAAATAGATTTCTATGGTCCGGTGTGGAATTGCATTGGAATTCTGATTAATTTTAAACAGAACAATCGACGTTAGCTTAGGAACTGGTCATTATGAATGTAATTACCTTATATTACTGACACAGTGCTCTAACGTAAGGAAACAATTAGAACTTGATACGAACTGCAAATAACGACCTGCATACGGAGATAATTCATGTCGTTGGAATCAAATAATGAGAACGCTTTTCCTCCCTGCTGTAAAGAGTGGGCGTAATTAAGAAACAGATATTTCCATAAGCACTTTGTTTGGCTTTTAGCTACAACGTCCGAGTAAGACTCCATAAAAATACGCCTCGTCTCTGGATCATAATTAAAACAAATTTAATTTCCTTTATTGTCAATAATAATGAGTAAAATGTCCTAAGTAGCCAGGCTACAGCAAAAAGCCACCGCAGAACAAACCGTTATTTCGCCCTTGTACCAGTTGATTCCTTCTAAGAAAGTAAATACATTAAAGAGCGCGTTTAAGCAGCTAGCTACGCTTCCAACATTGCATATTGCCGTCTTGGGAAATGGGTTATTTTATATGTAGACGTACTTTTATTAAACCAGTGTTATTTTTCCATTCATAGTACCGACGTTCCCTTTCAATGCGTGTGCAATGAATGAGATGGAAGCGACTTAAATATCCATAGTTTATGGATGTAGTATATAAGCTAATCAAATGATAATCTGTGTTATTGTTATGTGCTAATTCCCTTTTAGCAACAAAGTGTTCTCATGCTGAAAAGGCGAAATAAAACCTCTTCCGATAATGTTAACTAGGAAAGCACCCAGAGAACGTAGACCGCCGCCAAGGACCCTGCTCGCTAAACTGTAGTACATCTACTGCACAAGGGTGAAGATTATTGGCCAATATGTAATAACTTTTTAATTCGTGGATCCAGATAGTGATCCGAATCAGGGATCACCACCATTATCTGTTCACTTTAAAGTTAGCCAATTTCTGGCCTATTCTGAAAATTTCATCAAAATCCATTTATAACTTTTTGAGTTAAGCTGGCGACAAACAAACACACAGACAGTCACGCAGATGAAAACATAACCACCTAGGCGTCGGCAATGATGCCTTAAATGCTTACACACTTTCAATCTTTTATGACATTGCTTTAAGTAGAGAATATCCGACAGGTTTTGATTGATACTTTCGTCTCACGACAGCAGGCTAGTCGTCAGTTGTCATAAAAAAGTTATCAAATAACTTTCTGTTTACCTGAAACATTGAGTTTCCCGGACAGCAGTAATTAAAGCTGGGTCTTATATTGTAGTAGCAGCTGTCCTTGGCAGTTTTTATCAAAATGCCTTCATAAAGCTTTAGCCTTTCCTTACATATGAATAAAAAACATAATCAATAAATTCCACTACTTGTGATGGACATTCTAGGTTTTACACGTGAAGAATCATTAAGCCACTTTGGGTCCGAAGATCTTAAAAAAAAAAAAATGAAATATGTTGTCCGGTCAGACTACATTGCACTGTTTTGTTGTTAGAAACTATGGTTGAAAACAGGCATTGCGTTGACATCGCTTTGCTACAATTTCACCAACTCTATAACATAATTTAAATTTACTCGTATATGGGTTGCATTTGCATTTCACTTCTATAAAGAAAATATACCTATGGTTAGTAAGAATCAGTTTGACCAGCAATGGTGTTGCATATTATACAGCGAAAGATAAACTTTAATAATAAACAATCCAATGTCGTTCATCTTTTCATCAGTGCGTTTTTGCTGCTTATTTTATGTTTAAAATATTAAAGACGATTTTTGGCAAGCACTGGGCATTTCAGACACCCTTGGTAGAAAATTGTGTCTTCTTTGTATCCAGTACCTCGCAGATCGACCCTTCAATGGGAATAATATGCGACTATTACATCAAATGAGTAAAGTAAGTCGGTACTTAATTGATTTGATTCTGTCACAATGCTTGTCATCACTGAAACATTATGGAGTGGTTGTAAAAAAGGACAATACCGAATTTTCATTTATTGTACTTTCGTCTTAGATAGCATGAGCTCGCACTGTATAAACCGTGGTAGAAGTATTTTGAAAATGTTTTGACATGAGGGGAATCAAAATCCTTACTGAATACCTTAAATGATATTGTACACTTGAAAACCCTTAATGCTGGTCCCGGAGTTTTTGAATTATCACGCTGAGTATTCATTATTTATCAGTACAACTTGTAAGTGAATTATAATAGTTTGATGGATTTTATTAATGCATGATTCAAATTAATACCGGTTCATTCAACATGTTCGTTTGATTGCAATATCATTTCATGCTAAGTCTCTGAGCGAAGCATTGTCACTTCAGCCTTTAAATAAAGTATTGTAACCATATTTGCATTCCTACTTGGTAGGTAAGCGCGATTTCGCCTATGCAACAAAAGAGGTTCGGTACACATAGAGACGATCCGGTTATGATGAAAAGAATCTTTCATCACAAAATGAAGTAGATGAATGAAATCTTAGGGTTTTGAAGTGTTTGGATGCAGTTGTAGCACTTCATGAATACACACAAGGGAAGCATGGAGTGTAACCAGGTTATGACACGGTATTGCATGTAGTTTCGCAGGGATGAGTTTGCCATTACAGTCCATTAATTTTAAGAGAAATTTAAGCCGCAATCGATGTCTGTTTCAGATGTCACATTTAGAAATTTTCCAGTCCATGTAAAACGGTTTCGGTTTGGAAATCAAATGACGTTAACCTTAGATATTTGAATCTGCTATTCACTGGGATGTAGCCAAGGCAGTAGACATGACAGAGCGTACTTTTAAAGCGTTTAACATTTTAATACACGATTAATGGGTACCATAACTTAATGCATGGAAAGCTGGAAGCGTTATTTAGAATAAGTGTCGGTTGGACGCACGGCTACAGTTTTGAACACCCGCAAATTAGAGTCACATCTGTTGTTTTATTGACTATCACATGTGCAAATAAAAAAGAAATATAATAAAGATAGAAATATGACACAATCTCATGAACAGGGCAATGTTCAAGATGCATATTAAGCGAGTACGTATTTTTAGTCATTGCCTGACCAAATGCCACCGTGTAGTCTCAAAGAGTATGCTTTAAAGAAGTTATAGTAACACAGAATTTTGTCACATCATTTTCCGAAAATTGATATTTAAACTGATATTTTTGCTTGGTTTCTGCTTACTTTCTGAGATATTAATTTTTGTGGACTTTTTTGTTTTGTAGATTTTATCTGTGCTTTTTAAGAAACTCGTCCTAATAATCCATATACATTACAATCAGGGCATTTACTCTCGCTTCTTGTGCATCTTTAAGGTTGTTAAAGTACAAGATTATAAGCATGTTTGCATTTACAGAGTAGGAATAAATACACACATCGCATTGTTCAATAGATACTTTAACAATGCATCACATCTTCTTTTGCAGATCTCCCTTTTACAATGAGTACCTTCAGCAGCCATGTGGTGTTAAAGTGCACGTATTGACTGAGGATGAGAGCTTCAGGAACCATGTCAAATTAGTGATAACTATTTGATAGCACTGGAAAATGTGAAAAAACAGATCCAAACTTATAGATAGAAATTGAAGTGCGGATTTCATGAAACTTTTTAGATTGGGAGAGACTGACCACCTGACAGCTACGTGACCTATACAAAGGGTTTTCCCCCCTGTTAAGAGGGTCGTAATCAAAATAACCGCGGTTAGGCGCTGACTGACCTCCTACACCAGCTAATTGCCGTTGGATGGGTTGAAAGAAGCCAGGAACGCACATCAACCAATAAAATGTTTTCAAAATGACAAGAAATCGCCCAAGCCTGAGCGCGTTTCCTGGTCTGGAGTAATTATTTTCGTTAAAGACCATTGGAAAAGACAACGCGAGCATGGCAAGTTCAACGCACATGCCACGTCCCAACATTACAAACGTGGATGGGTTTACCGGAGGGCTTATCACCAACAAAGGTGAAATACCAGGCGGCAGGGAGCTAGAGAGCGCTGCACACCGTGCAGTTAATGTTACAGAGGCTCTATTGGAAGCACGGAACACCTCTGTTGCCGGAGGCGTCAATGGAAACATCTTCCCCGAGCTTTTTCGGTACAATTCCAGTGATTTTGACAAGACAGTTGCCGCCAATGAGTCGAGAAATTATCACATAGCTAAAAACGTCAAACAGATTCTAATCAAAGGTTTTCAAACGAACTTAGAAAATACTACGCGCAACGCCGACGGGGACGTGATTAGATACGCAAACACAGAAGCCAATAAAGAGTCCGGGTTTCCAGGAGCTGCTTCAGAATCTGACGGCGCTGCTACCACGACGCTCCGCAGCTGGTGGCCAAGTTACGGTGACTTCAACAACAACAGTGATATTTCTACTTCTTCCGTTTTTCAAAACACCACTTCAAGTGTTCCTTCCGATGCTAAGTCAATACTACGGTCAGGTCTTAAAAACTTGACCGATGAACTTACCAGCGGCTCTGATACTGATGGTGCTACGACTCCCCACACTGTCCAGATTACACTAAGCGGCGAGTCACGGCCTTCTCACTTGCAGCTTTGGACAAAACGTTTCACTGAGACGACCTTTACCGACCATTTCCGTGGCACGGTAGGGGATCAAACAACAGGCAGCTACTACAGAGGTAACTTTATAAATACTTTCAATAATGTAACCGATATAGACGATGGAATCGGCGTCGGAACTGAATCAGCTATCACCACGTCGTCACCTGGCATTGAACGCGCCGCTGATTTCTTCAATGTGTCCTCTATTAATAACTCAACACCGACTTTTAATAACAGTGCATCAGTAACGCATTTTACAGACCGACAAAACATTACCGCGGAATTGTTCGATGGTGCTAAAGCTGCCGCGCAGGCTTTCACGGAATCTATTAAAGACCCTGGAACATTTTTTACTTCATCACCTTCTGAAGCAGGTGAACTAAACAAACATTATTCAAGCACACCTGTCGGTAGTTCATCTGTAAACTCATCATCGGGCTATTTGAATTTAACTTCCATTACTCCACCTACTTTATCTGATCTATCGGAAACGCTGGTAGATAACTTAACACAGTCTAGCTTCCAGCACGAGGAACTGCAGTCAATATCGAGCTTTGCGCAGTATCCGGCTTATGATCAACTCCAAAGTGCAAAAACCGTCGCAAACACATTTCCGAGTGTTGTTGCGAACAGCAGTGATTGGACAAAACCCTCGAGTGTTGTTCGAGAGACGATAAGTGTCGTGCACAATGTCACTGGAAGTTTAACCGAAGCGCTGACCGCTAATACATCCTCTCTTGTTACCGAGAGGCTGAAAGAGAGCTTTAACAGCACGTGGTCGACGAACGCCGCGGCTGCAGCCGGCGCTGGTCCCCATGGAGAAAGCGCGTTCCTAGGGAATACCACCCTGGCAGACCTCATGTGTCCTAACGCCACTTGGTGCGTGTCTGTCACCACCGAGTACGCCAACGTGACCAATGGTACAGAGGAGAGCGACGCGGATATACGCTACTGGCTTCTCTTCCTCCTCTTCATCCCACTGTTGACTATCTTCGGCAACGTTCTGGTGTGTTTAAGTGTCTTTAAGGAGAAGTCTTTGCAGCATGTGACCAATTATTTCATCGTCTCCCTGGCCGTGGCGGACATCATGGTGGCCTTCCTGGTGATGCCCCCGGCCGTTTATTATGAGGTGAGTGATCGTCTTGTCATATTTAGGGTCGTGGGGTGAAATACTTAAATGTTAACTTACCTTCATACACACACGCGGGCACGTGTACACACGCACGCATACACACGATTGTTATTGATAAAATAAATTAAATAATACACCTAAAACCCCCCTTTCTTCTTATTCAATTCCCTTTAAAGCCACCACCACATTTTAAAAATGTAGAGATTTAATCAAAATAAGACAGAGGTCTGCTGAGAAATTCTGTGAGGGATTGAGATGTCCAGTTTACAATTACATCGATGTACGTGGAAAGTAATCCAAGTCTGGCATACCATCAGTTAAACATTCTGTTTGCCACACTGAGTATTTGCGGTGAGACATTAAGTATATGGTTACTCCAGTTCTGGTGAGAGATGTATATCAACGCATATCAAAGCTTTATTTAGATTACTTATTTATGTGACTTTCGATTTAATCAGATGTTTAGGGTTACAAAATAACTATGATTTCTCCAGTGTTTAATAGCACGTTCATGTCTACATTAATGATGAGACAAGCGAATGCAAATCTTGGTCACGAAATATACTGCCAGATTCGGCTGAGTTGCATGTGTGTTATCAGATCTATTTCTCCTTGCGGGTTTGTTTGCTCCTACAACCACAGCAAGTGTGTTGTGCAGACTTCAACGTGCGCTGGAAATATGTTTATACGTAACCAGCCTTGGCCACGGGCAGCAAGATCTGTCTGTTAGGAATAATAACATTTGTCTGACTCTTTACTCCATGTATTCATATATTTGTATAGCGCATGCGAGGTATTCCATCGAGATAGCTCTTATGCATTACAAGTTCAAAAGAGAGATAGTGTCAGATTCATAAATGATGCACAGTAACGAGGTTCTGGTTTTGGTGTAAACTCTATTCGTTTTTGAATCATCTCGGGAGCTTTCTTTTGACATTCACATAATCCGTTAACTGACCTTATTGCTGTAACTATTACTTCTTCGGAAATGTTGTGTCGGGTGCAAATTACATAAATTTGCGAGGTGACATTTGTGATCACCGCGTTTCAATCTCTCAAACGTCGCTGAGATTTGATCTTGAAAATACAGGGGCGGATTTAGGCCGTCTTCTGGGTCTTCCGGAAGACGGTCAGATTTTCAAGTTTACATTGTCGGGCATCTAATGTTTTTTGTCGGAAGATGGTCAAAAATGGAGGATGGATCAACAAAGATAATTTGGAAGACTGTCAGAAAATATCTCTGGATCCGCCCCTGAAATAGGCATAATTCTTCGGTCACTCTCTCGTTGTTATTATGATTTCATGTGTAAAAAAAGCCTGGTGTAAAAGCACATGCAGCTGTGCGTGATTTGGACTACCCCATGGCAGTATATTGATATCAGTGGGACATCATGTAAACTGTTGATGCTCATCATAGGTTAAGGTACAAAATATTCCATTTGAAATTACAACTGCAATATTTTCACTGACACGTGATATCTAAGACAGTGAACTACTGCTACAGCTGATGACCGGGTGAAGAAAAAACGCTCACCCTACATGTACAAACGCTTGCTTTTATTTTCTATAACGGCAGATATTTATCCTCTACACCAACAACATATTGTTATAAAGGTATATATATTTGATACCATTCTTGATTTCTATGCCAACGCAAGAATACGTTCTATATTACTTTACGCCTTTTTTATAATAACACAACAAGTACCAGTCCACACATTCGTTTTCTGTACATAGCTAGATTTCATTCAATACCAATTTTCTCTCGTCTCATGTGCCAACTGAATATTACATACAATCTCAACCTACGGATGTCTATTTTGCCTCCTCACCCCACATGCAATTTTATAGAACAATCTTGGAAGTTTGCATGCGATCCTCAGGGTTTAATGAACGGCTCATCATGTCATGTTAGCTTTAAGAAAACAAGCAGGGCTACACCATGAGTTGAGCCGATTTTTTGCCTAGTTCCTTATTATTTCGTTAACTTGCTTATAACGATATAAGCGCGATATGTAAACATACGTGTAAATACACTGTACATTTTTGTCTAATTAAAGATTAACCCTCGACATTCTATATTTTGTCCACATTATATACGCGTTCCATTGTGTCGGCTCTTTGAGAAACTCTCAAGTCATTATTCCGACTCGTTGCCGATATTGGTTTTATATAAATATACGTGTCATTCAGATGGTCAATTATATCGCAATCGAGAAAAATTCGCCCCGGTCATCTTAGATGTATCTCTGTATCAGCTCTTTCAAGAGATGCTAGTCTGTGTTGTCAGTTCGCTTCCGCCTTCCTCCCCGGTGGTTTAACATCAACATGTATGAGCAAGTAAAAGGGAAAAAAGAACTCAATATCGGTTCATTTACCTCGGTTTTCAATAAGGCAGGGTCGTGCTGCGAGGCAGGGTTTTATACCCGACCGCTTAATACACGCTACTAGTGAATGGTGAAACATCTTTACGTGTGGTCATAAACCTCAGCAGTATAGAATTACTTTGGAAATTCACGTAGAGTTTGATAGCTATTTTTTTCATTTCAAGATTATGGTGTTAGGTCAGGCAAGGCGAATATTAGATAGTGGCCTTATTTATTTGCTTGGTCCTACGGATCCTCTGCGGATCCTCTCCACAAAAAGGCACTACGTTAAACGTTATTAGAAGTGATATTTTGGAAGGTACCGGTGAAAGGCAATGGGGGATAGATAAATGATTTTTGTGACCTTAGAATGAACAACACGCGGGCGTTGTCCTTCCCTCAATACCTAAAAGCCACAATACCTCCCACACGATGCAGTTAATAGTCATGTTATCTGTGCTTGTGTATGGGTTTTCTTTCCGATGACTTTGGCGAATCGTCTATAATGTGTGTATAACGGACATCACGGTACCATAGCCGCGGTAGATGGTCCGTGGTAGTGGAGAAAATATACTGGGATCATGGTGCCATAAAACAAGAGGATTAATCAAAAGAACATACCTTGTACTATTACATTCGATATTAAACCCACGCCTTAATTGCGTTGCCTTTTACGGAAATCGCGTTGTGACATTTTTAATAGAAAAGATGTGGGTTAAAAAAGATCCATATCTTAATTATATCTGTGTTAGGAGACAGTCTAACCAAAGTCGACCAGCTCACGGCGTTGTGAGAGATGCGTACAATGCACAGCGGTCTATTTATTGGGCAGAATCTCACATGAGTTTGGGTTAACTACTTGATGTCTGTGAAGGATTTTATCTTAGTTCAATCACATATCGTGTATAAGAGGTAGTTGAATGTCCCTGTGAGACTAGTAGACGCATATCAATCGCTTGTGAAATGCATGTCGGGTCAGGAGAACAGAGATAATCCATTGCTAAAGGCACTGTAGGTGTTTAAGGAGGTATGAAGGCGACATGATGTGATGCCAGCTTTGCATTTGCTATGAAGACGAACATAAACGCATTGCGTGTTATATAGTGTAATGTGTGTGTGTGTGTGCGTGCATGTGTTTGTGCGTGCGTGTGTTTGTTTGCAATCTAGCATTGTATTTGCCAATACAGTTCCAATAGAAAATGAAGTCCCTATGTCTCTGTAGAGGAACGGTATCCAAAACGAATGATATTTTGCTTCTGCATCAGTGTCCAGTCCGGCACTCTTACCCGTAGTAAAAACACATACATGGGTACTGATATCCGGCACTCTTACCCTGTAGTAAAAACACATACATGGGTACTGATATCTGGTCGTTGAAAACGGGAATATAATGTTTGTAGATAAAAAAGGGGGAAAAAACTTCTGTTCAGCAACAAAGAAGGCTTATTTCTGCATGTCTCTGTCACATCTTAACCTGTCAGCGGATGAGCATATGTCACGACGAGATGACATTGTTGCTGCATTTCCGTTGACAAATAGATTTTCTTCAACATTGAGTAAATGTTTCGGCAAGCCGCTGCCATTTGGAGCTTCTTTTTTTTTTTACAGTTTTCATTACTCATTTTGCCTGACACCAATTTTACCAAAAACATTAGTATGGTATCAGAAAATGAAAACGTAACAGGCGACGCAGATGAAAGGATTTTGATGTAATAATTGTCTATCGATTAGTCACGGCACCATTATTGCGACAGGTCTGTTCTTTCTAAATTACTGTACCTTGGTCATGTTAGGATTTACATAGACCAAATGCGTGTCGATGTTATTCATTTACCCGCCTTTATTTTCTTCTTATTTGAAATGATTATATCAAAAATGTAACTTTTGTGGATTGTTAGAATAGATTATTGGTGGGCTTTTCGAAATAACCCTGATTTAAACCTGTATCTTTCACAACAGGAAAATCGAATCGAAGCTAACGATCACATAAAAGGCATGTTGGGACCGCAGTCAAGGTCCCCCAAATATTAGAAATTCTAAAACAGGTTGAAAAGCAACCCGTTAGTACGCCCAGATCATTGATTCTTTTAGTGCATAAAGCCCTTAGCGTATTGCAGCGTAACCACGAACTTCATAGGTTTTCTGACCCCAAGTATAAAAATAAAACAGTCAATGCATTATCTGCTTAACAAGTCCCTCGTGTAACTGTATATTAATTTCACAGCTTACATGTACGAATACCATGATCAGTTTTCTTTCGTTTGTTTTAAACTGAAATTGCTTCATTACGGAATCCAACATTCAGACAACGATTATAAAAATTACGTGCCGTCATCCTATTATCTTGGAGGCAAGTTAACTGCCATTTCGATTATGCTTTATATAAATGACAAGAATAAATGACAACAAGTCTGAATGCTTTGATTCATCCAGTAGTTTATAAAAAAATTAATACTTAAATTGCCGTTGTATTACTTTGAAAATCGAGCAATAGATATATACTTTCTGTTATGTAATATTATGTACCAGTGATGCTCATATTTCCGATGCTGTGTAGGCTTAATTATTGTGGAAATCAGTTTGTTCCACAGTGTACTGTGTCCCTTAACACAAAGTGCACCCCGCCTTTTA